TATTTCAGGCAAAGCAATGAAATCTCCATGGTAACAAGCAGCCGTAACGTCCAGAACAAGCCTGCATTAAAGAAACTTAAGTCAGCTTGAAGTTTTTATGTACAAAGCCTTAAATACTAGTCACTTGTGTAGTTGTGTACTTTATACTTTCACTCAAGTACAAGTTTCGCAGTAGTACTTGTAATTTTGAGTAGTTTTTTCACCATTTAAACCAGGAAACTTAAAGGAAGACCAAAGAGCTGACTGAACCATTGAATCTACAGGCTAAACAAAGAGGAGGGAGAGAGAAATGAAGATAGAAAATCAAACCTACATAAAATTATGTTTTACATTCGCCTTAAAGTGGGACTAAACACCTAAACTCCACCCACAAACACATTTCAAATAGATCTGATAAACTTAGGGGCGGGGCTAGGGGGTATAAGGAACAGTGTGACACGTATCCACACTACAAACTCCCCCTCATAGCCAAGATTTTATAAACAGAAACAACAGGCTGTAATCAGGGCAGTCCTGTGTGATGTCACATAGTACTTGATACCACAGAGGCCACTAGAGTTCACATACTCTCATTTTTACACATTTTTGATCAGATTATTTAGCAAATTTACCTAGTTTGCTCTAAGATTAACAAAAAACAAAAAAAAAAGCACTAGAAACAGTAAATAATACTATTGAAGATGCACTGTGTAACTTTTTGATTGGGGGTCTGTCACCTGCTTGTTACTATGGATATGTCACTGCTCTGCCTGGAATGTTCCACAGTATGACATTAAACAGATCTACCTTACATGTATTCAATCACAGGTGGTTTTATTGCTCAAAAATACCTAGAAAAACAGGCGTTGTGACTGTGAGCAGAGTCGCCTCTCCACAGATCTGACCTGTAACTTGGTCTGGTTTAGTCTCCATGGAGATAGAAATTTTTAATACCATACTGTGAAACATTCCAGCAAGCAATAACATCTCCATGGTAACCAGAAAAGTTACACAATGCACCTTTAAAAAAACACCATTAGTTTAGTAACAAATATCTTTGTGATTTCATTTTTACTTTCATTTTAAAAACAGCATTGAAGCCGCTTTGCAGTAGCTAGTATCTTGAGAATACATATTCTTCTTTATAACCTGTATGATTATTTAACATTATTTTCCAAAAAAAGGCAGTTTAAGCAATAATTTAGCTCCCAGCCTTGTTTCCATGTCAGCCATTTTGTGACATGCATGGTACTCGACTCCAGGGTCGACTTGGGCTTGGTTCCATATCCAGAAATGTTGGTCCTAGGGATGTTACTAATCTGGCAAAGTTTCATGCTTGTACCATAAAAGTGAACAATTGGGCACCTTTTTGGTCCTTCACAGCTCCACTTTATGTGTTGTCAGTTGAAAACCTCCATTTTAAACCTTTTTGAAATCTAAATATAAATCTTGTATTAAATCTATGTCTCATTCTTCTCTCTGATTTCGCTGCTCGTTGATGATATTTCAAATGTGCACTGCAAATTGTGTGAACTAGATCATTGTACACATTATATAAGTCTGTACATGTCTACACAAACACAACATTCATGACAGTGATGACACGGACAGCATTTTGTGCTTGACCATGTTTATTTGTTACACGACATAGCGGTATGTCACCTGTTATAGGAGCGTCTGGAACAGCGACCAGATCAAGTGGTTGAGCGCGTTCATGCGCTGCAGTAAAGAGCAACGTTTGTTACTTCAAACCCCAGGTCGTGATGGGAACATGTGCTGGATACATTTGGATTATTTTCCTATGGGGAAATAATACGCCACGATAAAGAAGGTTTAACGCGACAATACAGCTCTGGCAGTTTTGTGTCTCTATGGGAGTGAATGGCTGAAATAAATTAGAAATAATAAAATAAACTGCATATAATATGTGCCTCGTAAACCTTAGGCTATCAATAACCCGACACAACGTTAACCTTCAGAACATAAAAATGAGGTCAAATGGGCTAATTAAGGATATGACGTACACTTCATACTACAAGCATAGACAATGAGACTCGTCTTTTCAGATGTAGGTAACAATACTAACAATAACTTTTTTTTTTTTTAGTAGTTAAACCGCCACCCGCCCGAATTTTATTCAAATATAATTTTTCGTCACGTCATCCGCCCAACCCGCGGATTAACCGCGGATACCGCGGTTGTAACCGCAATCCGCGCATCTCTACCCCCCACACTTCACAGAACAGCACTTCAATTATACATGTACAATATACATGACAAGAAAAAAAAACACTCACACACTCATCCAGACACCACACTGGCCCAGCACTCTGACCCTCCCCTCCCTCCCCCTGACATCATGCTCTGTGCTCAGGGCATCACTCTCTCTCCTCCAGGTATTTTTAGGCCCGAGCCCCGACAGGGCGTAGGGCCTATTGCTTCCGCTAAGCGGAGCGAATGGGGAGTGACGTGCGCATGTCCGAATGCGACAGGGCGACATGGAACATTGTCCTCGGTCGCTCCCAGCACAAACAGCAGTATCCCAGTAACCCACGCCAAAGGCCTGAGCCATATTTACTACTGCTAAAATGAATGGAAGTCAATGGGAGGTCAGGGGGCGACCCCGACGAAATGGTCCAGACGCGCCCGTCACTCACCAATAACCCCACGGTGACGTGGGAAGGTTGAGAGCTTTCAAAAAATGTATAATATGTTGTTCTAATGTTTTCGGATATATTGTTTTTGCTCGAATTATTATTATTTTATTTTATTAGGCCCGAGCCCCGACAGGGCGTAGGGCCTATTGCTTCCGCTACGCGGAGCGAATGGGGAGCAATGAGCGCATGGCCGAATGCGACACGACGACATGCACAGTCGCCCCCGGCACGAACAGCAGTATCCCAGTAACCCACGCCCAAGGCCTGAACCATATTTACTACTGCTAAAATGAATGGAAGTCAATGGAAGGTGATGGGTGACCTCGATGAGATGATGAATGACGAGCGCATCAGTGCCCGTCACTCACCAATGACCCCACAGTGACGTGGGGAAGGTCGAGAGCTTTCAAAAAACGTATAATATGTTGTTCTAATGTTTTCGGATATATTGTTTTTGCTAGGCCCGAGCGCCAGAGGCTGGCGAAGGGCCTATTAGTATCGCAAAGCGATGCTCCGAGTGGCCAAAAAATGAAATGGCGCGATGATGTAACTTGCCCATAGTGACCAGGGACCCTCGCCATCACGTAGCAATGCGCCAGAGGTTTCCGAAAATGTATAGTTGGCCAAAAAAAAAGCGGAACATTGTTCTCGTATCGGTTCTCACCCAATTTTCACTCACTGAACAATGACGAAAAGTCCTGAAATTTTCCCATCTGGTAAAACTCTCACCTCTCTAACTTTTGGCTATTTTCATTTTCCAAAAATAAATAAAATGGCTCGTCAGCGCCCCCAAACAACTCAAAAATGCATTAGGGAATACGAATGACACACAAAAAAATTTGCATGTACAATCATTCAAAGTCAAAATTTGACACAGAAGTCGATCATGTCAAGACAAGGAAAAAATATTATTACACCAACACCATCCGCTCCACTAGGGGGCAGCAATATTGGCTGAAAGTTTGCTAAGCTTTTACAAACTCCCCCAAGGACGTTCACCCGAACTAGCTCAAATTTGGTCCACATTATCGCAAGATGTGGAACATCAAAAGTTATCAAAATTTTTCACACACGTCTTACGGTCTCTGAGCAATGAAGCAACAAAAAATGCATACAATTTTGGAGATTTACAAATTGCTCCCATTTGCTCAAATGAACTCTGATTTCAATGAAATTTGAAACAGTTGTTAAACTCTCTGCCCTGAAGCTACTTAATGTGAAAATTATTAATTTGGTGCATTAGCGCCCCCATAGATTGAAACAAAATTTAATATGTGAGAAAATCATTTGTTCCCAAATAGTTGTTCAAAAGTTTCTGAAATTTAGCACAAAATTCCATTTTGGCATCCTGATCCAAAAGTCAGTAACACCCATGTCATATTTTTTATGGCGTTGCCATAGCGATGACATAAACTCTTCATTGGTAAAATCTACAAATTCTGGCACAAACTTTGGCCGATTTCATTCAAATTATAATCGTGGGTTCACACCCCGACCCTGAACAGATTTATATAAGAAAATCTCAGGTGGGCGCAATAGCGCCCCCTAGAGAAATTGCACGGTAGTGCCAAAATTTACTTTGTCGTAGACATATAAAATTTGGTACACAGATTCATGACATGGTCTCGATCAAAAAAGTCTAGGATGCCCCCTGCCATTTCCCCATCGTGTTGCCATGGTGACAGGCTAAACATCTGACCTCGCCAATAGGACACCCAAGAAAAACTTTGGCATAGCCAAACCAAATTTGGTACACAGATGCATCATGGGAATAGGAACAATGCGGGCTGTGGCGTTTGCGGGGTGCGGCGCAAGCACGCGCGAGGGCCGATCATTGCCGCTTGCGGCTATATTTATTAATATTATTATTATTATTATTAATTTATTCACTTGTTCTTTTAATGTAATGAGATAATGATGAAAAGTGCTGAGAAAAAAATCCCTTTGCATTAGGATTGTGTAGGATTTAAGATGAACACACAGATGTCTCCACTAAAATGTTATGCTAGCCAGCAACCTGAGTGGAAAATGATTTTATTGTGGGGGAGCTTTCTGAGCAAAAGCCCTGAAGGTACTGAATAAGCTGACAGGAGCAAAAGTCCTGGAACCGGCATCCCACCTGTTGAAGACAGCCAATCAGAGGAAGGATGGAGCGTTACCAGGGAGATAAAGCAGGTATGACAGGTGGCATTGTGACATTAAGCAAGAGCAAACAGTCTCAACACAAGTGGGACAGGGTGACCGAAGGATTGCAAAGACTTTATTATTTTATTTGAGTTGGACAGAAGATTTGTTCATTGAAAGATTTCCTTTTTAGCAACATTTTACCACATATAGGAAGAAGAGGAAAGAAGAGATTTTACAATGTCCTCGTTTGAGTCCGAGGGCCAGTCTCCTCCTCGGTGTGGTCCACAGTTCCCTACTTTGGGACAGGAGCCTCCAGAGCTCAGCATGTACAGTGACTGCTACTACCCTCCTCCATCACTGCCCAGCCCTCAGCGCACCACCCCAACGTCCTATGAGCTCAGTGACTACACCACCCCCTCTCCAAATCCTTACCTCTGGTTCAACAACTCCACACCATCTTACCTGAGCAGCACCGCAACGCCGGGGAACCCAGGGCCTCCCTTTGTCCCGCAGCACTATGGAATGCAGAGGCCATACCTTGGCCCAGCCGGAGCTGGGGGTCCAGGAGGGGAGCTAAGCTGGTTCTCCCTGCCCTCACAAGAAGATTTAATGAAGTTAGTGAGACCACCGTACTCCTACTCTGCTCTCATCGCTATGGCAATCCATGGGGCGCCAGACAAAGGACTAACACTAAGTCAAATTTATCAGTATGTGGCTGATAATTTCCCATTTTACAACAAAAGCAAAGCAGGATGGCAAAATTCAATAAGACACAACCTGTCGCTCAATGACTGCTTCAAGAAAGTGCCAAGAGACGAAGATGACCCAGGTGAATTTTTTATGTTTTATTATTACATGTAGATTTTAAATGTAGCTAATTAAATTGACATGTCTTTTAAACTCTACCATAAATACTCCAAATCTATAAAGAAGGCCTACTGGTAGTTACTTTCTACTCCTGTCTTTAAGTACACACAGGTGAGACAGTACTCCTATGATTTTAAAACTACCTTACAATTACATGGCTACAATTATATGTTTCAAAACCTCCCCCAAAATTACTATTATCCCCAAAACTGCAGCAACAAAAGTATTTTGATTAGTTTCTTGGCTGTCTGTAAATCCATAGTGCATCCTTTACACAGTATTGGGAAGTAACTGAATACATGTACCAAGAATATATATTCAGAATACACATTTTGAGTAACTATATTCTGGTGCAGGTACTTTTTCATTTGGTGGTATTCAGAATACAATTACTTTCCTAAAGTCATAGGAATACATTGTTGTACCTGATCACAAAATTTAGGTTTCAAATGGCTCGATATCAGAGAGAGAGAAAAATAGAAAACGCCGCTCATGGTGAGTGCATGTGTGATTTTCCTTTGCCAATTAGTGATACATAAATGCAAAACACAATGAAACAAACAAAGCCCTTTCACTGGCTACGTTGCGTTTTTACTCTATAATTTAAATGCAACTTGATGTAAAAGTCTTCTGTGTATTCAGAATATAGTACTCTGTATGGACCATGTAACAGAATTAGTTTTGAAATCCATTTTAATGCAGGTATTCTGTATTCTGCAACTAAATACATTTTCAAAGTATTCTTCCATCATTGCTTTTACACTGGCGTGGGGTACGGGGGAGTAGTGTAATGAAATGTTTCTCTATCAGAAGAGGAGAAAAGTCTGTAGAGGTGGGAGGAGGCAATCTCCCACAAGGACCCCCCCAGGAGGACTCAAATATTCGCACTCATGAGGCCTGGGGCTCTGGGGGGATCTGAGGATGATTGATCAATGCTTGGCCTGGGCTGCCCTCCTCTTTCACCCGGGTGTGAGATACCAATGGCCCTACAGGATGAGCTCAGGCTGGAAAACAAGATCTGACAAAGATTGCTACGTATTTACCCGTTTGTAAATAGAGATTTGTATCAGTGAGGTCGCTTAAAGTCTACTTACATATTAGCATGCTATCATAACATCTTGGTGTGTGCTTGCATGTGGTAGCTAGCAGAAAGGAAACAATCAACAACTATTTTTAGTGACCAGTGCATATTCAAGAGTGTGCTCTCAGCTAATTTTACATGTCTGAAGTTATTTGTCATTAAACCACTGAAAGTTTCAGTCTTCACTGGTTACTCTAAAAGCATCAACCCATTACAAGAAACAACAGATAAAGCGAAGAAGCAACATACAACACACAACAGTTCTGAGTACCAACAAACATTTAGAATGAGTTCTAGTGTTCCTCCTTCAAAATATGAAGTGATGAGCTGGAAACCAAAGACACTGGCTAACTACATGAAAAAGGTAAGGCTACCATTTCTGTTAACCACATGTTTGATCAGTGCTGGAGTAAAATTTGTATTGTATGCATTTACATAGATGATTAGAATGGGTATGAAACACACCCATTTTAATCATCAAAGCAGTGAAAATGTCAAATGTTTTGCATAAATGAGTTTCCTTCCTCCAAACAAACAACAAACCTGTGGCGCTCTAACAAAATAATTTCGTAAATATACCAAAAATATATATCTTCATGATATATCAATACAGAAGCCCGTGATATCGATACTGTATCATCACATTAAACGATACGATATATCAATATTTCAAAATTTTTGCACACCCCTAGTTCCCTTTATTGAATTGAATTGAAAGTTGACAAACAACTCACAACTAGTACATTATTAACGATGGTACTATTTTAAATTTGTTGCATAAAATACTAAAAAAAATCCTACTCTCTATGCAGCTTAAATTGTCTGGCTGTGACGATGTTGCATTACAACTAAACATAACTGGAAAACATTTTTTGGTAAGTATAAAGCTTACAATATACCACACAATAGTGATTTGTTAAAATTAAAACAACATTCTTGACAGCAAATGTCTGAGTGTGATCTCCGAGTGTTCCCTGGTTATTATTGTCAGTAAGTAGTAATATTTTCATGAACAATTAAGTATTGAAAAGTGCAGTATTATTGAGTCCTGTGTGTTTTCTTATTTCAACAGAAAACTTAAAGAGTTACAAAAAGCCATATCAAACACAAGCCCTAGTTCAAGGTAAGCAACATACACTGGTGAAACAGTGCAATTTCATTGTATGTAATCTCAAGCTCTGTCTTATTCTTTTTAGATTTAACAGCAACCACAGACCAGGTAGTAACATAAAAATACACTAATCATGGTTTGGTGTCTTTAAATGTCACTTCTTCCTGTAGCAGCAGTTGTTCAACAGGAAGAAGACAATGAGAAGTATGTAAGTTATAGTGAATGGTATACAAATTCTACACAGTATATATATATTTTTTGTAGATGTTTTTACTGTAAATGGTGTAAATTTAGCTAAAAACTCAATACAGTATATTCTGAAAGAAACAATAAATTTTTTGACAGTCGACTCTACAAACCATGTTCTTTTTCAGGATCTGGATGAACAAGTATATGACAATGCGAGTCTAGGTGAAGTCTTGACAGCGATAAAGATGCAAAAGAAACAAAATGTCTACCATGGTACAGTGGAAATATCTTGTCAAATCCAAGATAAATGAATAAAAATGACCCAAGTTATAAAAACAATATTATGTTAACAAATTATGTTTTCTTGTCTAGAAACGCTTACTAAGCCCAGTTCAGAAAAGCCCAAAAGGAAAACAAAGCCTGCTATGGCATCACAAAGATTTGGCCATGACCAGGTAATCATGAATTTATAAAACCTGTAATTAATGCAAGCCCACTCAGTAGTCTCATTTCTGTCACTCCCTTAAAATCCACAAGAGGGCAGTGTACACAAAGACTTGAGCTTCTCCACCAGTAATGGCTCAGCAAATTATTCTCTCATAACACAAAGGTATGTTAACTTAAGTTTTTTGTTCCATATATAAACCATTTTACAAACATGTAGTAAGCCTGTCTTTATTGTAGAGAACTTCAGTCCTTGCCTGCGCAAAGTTCAAAGTTGGAAGAGGTAAAGGACTACTAGTATTTTATATCAACACACTGTATTAGAACTATCCTAGAACAAACAAATGTCTAATAAAAAGTATATGCTGGAATTAAAGTTGCATTTCCACAAGTTTACCAGCAGATTGCAGTGTTTTAAACGCTATGGCCACATCTAGCACTCTTAAAGAACCTGTACCCAATTTTTCCCACATATTTAAGTAAAATTTATCTTGCACTAGAACAGATCTATTGTACAAGTATAACCAGCTCTTAAGGTCATAATAAGTCTGTTGTGTACTGTCCGCATCCAGTTATAAAGGATTTTGGTTTGTTGTTAGCTTTACAATGACAGTCAAACTCTGCTCTGGTGTCTCAGAGTTGTAAAAGATGTAGAAAATCAGGTGCATATATATATATATATATATTTTTTTTTTTAAATTTTACATTCGTCTGTAATTTCTAGGATGGTGCATTTGTGGTAAGAGAAAGTTCCAAAGGCCGAGCAGAGCATCCTTACACTTTGATGGTGCTGTAGGATGCCAAGATTTACAACATTAAGATCCGTAAACAAGGCGATTGTTTTTTCCTTGGCACTGGCCTCCATAAGAAAATGGTATGAATAGGTTTACATGGGTCTACATCACTCTATATGGGCAGATCTTAAATAAAATAGAACCCAGTATATTAAAATAAATTTAGTTTAGATTTAGACAAACTTTATTAATCCACAAGAGAAATTACTTGGATCCACAAATTCACCATGATAATCTTGGGGCACGATATACGTTTTTAGGTGGAGGGTCCGAAACCTTCTGGGGTGTTCTACAAAATGGCATAAACATCATAACAAGCTACATGAATGCAAGCAGATATCTTTTGGCAATAAATATTGAAAAATAATAATAATTTGTGGAGAGAAACCTGCCAGGTGTGTTTCATGTGGACCGGTCCAGTAGGTCCCTAATTACCATGATATTAACCATAAACCAGGTCAATTTTGTGCATTTTTACAGTTAAAAGGCAAATTCTACCATTACTCTGACCTGCCCTCAACCTCAGTGTCAAACAATGGGCAGTTTGGAATATTGTGACGTTACATAAAACCAAACTTTAAGACAATGTCATTTTCTCTGCAGTTTAGAAAGAGCAGAGAGTCTGGCACCAAAGTCCACATCTCAACATTCACTTAGGGGCATGTTTGCTGCCAACTTGTCCTGCGTCATTAGGCCCTTGTCATTTTGTGTGTGTGCTCCTGTGTGTAGAATTTCCCTGGAGTGAGAGAGATCATTACTCACCATGCCCACACCCTACTGCTGCTCATTGATGCCAAGGACCTGTGTTGCTTCCTGCACCCAGTCGGACCACAGCAATAACAAGAACTAATAATAATAAGCAAAATATGGGCGGGTAGCTGTTTCTGTATTATTATAACCATTTAAAAAAAAAAAACTTTTCATGTTTTCATATTGCTGGGTGGGTACAGATAGCTACATTCTAGCTATCTGTACCCACCCAGCAATATGAAAACATGAAAAGTCATCTGTGAATTTACTTTTTAGATAATTCTTATAAGAGGTTGTGAGCTCAAATGCTTAGCTAAGCTAAGAATGGGTACATTTTACATGAATAAACAAATAGTTCTCAAATAGTTCTCAATACTGCCATCCATTCAAAAAAGTTGCAATGAAATAAAGTGAGCATTCACACTTTACTGCTGCCTAGTCTCCCTGTAAGCCTCTATAATTACTGTCACATGTTAAAACAAAAGTATCGTATCTACTAATTTAACTGAAAATTCACTATCAAGTCCATGTTTTACCACAAGAAGGCGACACACTACAGTAACTACAGTGACTACAGCAACTTCTCGAATACGTTTTCAAAGTAAGGAGCATTGATACTTGTTTTATTCTCTCTGACAGGACCGAGCATGAACATTACTTTAAATATAAGTTTGATTTAACAGAGCAAAGCCTGTCTTCGTTTGATTTATATTTAGGGTGACCAGAATTTCAAAATAAAAAACTGGGACGTCCTCGGTTTTTTAATGTGGTTTTTAAATTTGTGAAACGAGTGCGTAATTAAGAAAAAAGTGTTCTGCAGAAACCATTCATAACTAACATGTGAAATAGTATAGTCACCTTAAGCAGATTTTATTTATTTTTTTATTTTTTCACAGGGCTCAAAACTGGGACTGTCCCGGGTGAACAGCATGGTAAATAGGCACGTCTGGTCACCTTATTTAATTTTTTTAAGAGTATACATTTTATTTTGAAAGTGCCGTCACACCGGAAGTGTTTGTCCTGTCCTGCGGACCTTACCTGATTTGACACATCTGTGAACAACTATCATCAAAGTTCCTGCTCAGATTCCTCCAAATTATTCTATTTCATATTTGTGATTTTCTGGGACCTGATTTAACCTACCCGCGCTTTTATTTGGGTACTGCGACGGGCGAGGACGATATTATGACTCATTTGATTTATAGTCTGTGGACGCTCTCTTAGCATTAGCATTTGTTAGCTTTGAGCTAAAGTGTGGAGAAATGGAGTCGCTTGGGGTTGAAGATCTGTTCAACTTTCGGCGGTAAGTATTGGACAATATTTTCCCTTTATTACTCGATCAGAGCGATGTTTGCGCCGAGAGTGCAAACCTGATGTGCTAACTTAGCGGTGACCTCAGTTGCTAACTACACAGCTATCTTTTGATCATAGACGAGTGTTATTTATAGCTCCTTGGCTAACTTTATTTCACGGGTCATGTTCACATAATATTGGCTGATTTATGTTGCGAAAATGTTAAAACTGTGAAACCTGTTGTTTACTCTAAGCCACAAACTAAGCACCAATTTACAGTGAGTGGAAATAATATCTTGATCTCTGCACCAACCCTCAACTGGTCACTTTGAGTTAAATTACTTAAACATTACTTATACCACTTTTTACAAATCTCAGATGCCCTAATCAAATCGAAATCTAAGCAGAAATAAACCACAATCTTGTAATATAATAAATGCAACTGCACCCATTCAGTTGTGGGAACAGTATCATTTGTAGGTTTGGACCATAGACTGTACAATCTATCTGTCTAAGCTTGGATGTGTCTTGCCTCACGGAAAACGCTACTAATTACTAATTACTAATCTGTTTTGGCCTGTGTGGCAAAGTTAAGCTCTTATATAATCATGTAGAGACACGTGTAATAACTAATAGAAAATGAAACCTGACAGAGTTGTACACAAATGACCAGATGCATTCCTCACACCAAAACACTCTGGAAGTTGAGTGTAGATATTAGTTTGGGGTAAATTTTTCACACACGAGCTGATTATGATTATAAATACAATGTGCAGACAGAACCTACCCTTACAAAATCATTCCTTGTTTTTGGCTTAAAATAATACTGTTTGTTTTTAACAGGTTTCCCAAAGACCCCCTCATTCTTCTTCTGCTGCTCCTTTATTCCCCTGTTGGCATTTGTTTAGTGCTAATTCGGATCTTTATTGGAGTCCATGTGTTTTTGGTGAGCTGTGCACTTCCTGAATGTTTTCTTAGAAGGTGAGTTTATTCCAACTGTTTTCCATATTCTGTTAACCTGTCCCCTTGTCACAACAAATTCTGAAGCATGATACATTGCTACAGAGATATGTAACAATAAACAATAAATCTGAAACTAATTAATGCTACTGACAATACCAATAATGCAAAATCATCCTTGTAAACCATTTTTTAAGTACACAGTATCATTAAAAAGGCATGTGCAGCAATAAAAGTTTCTTATTCGACCCTGTACAGCTCAAATGTTATTGCATTTCTGCTATTTCTGATAATTATTTGTAATTTACTGTTACAATTTATGTTTTTTCTCTTTGTTATGTATTATATTCTGATGTATGAGCTATGTGTCCAAGTAATTTCCCTTGTGGATCAACAAAGTTTGTCTAACTCTAAGTATTACAGCTAAAATAAAAAAAAATCCCCATTATTGCAAAGAAATTGTTCACGCTATAAATATTGAGTTCAAATATATTGTTTCAGCTTTCATACATTGAACATAAGTCAGTATAGTAATTATTGTGACAGGGTGAGACCTTGTTATTTAGTATTACCTGGAGTTGTGTTTTGTTTAATCCACACTACCCCTGCATATTAAGCTGAGTTTTTCTCTCAGATAGAAAGCTGATCTGCTCCACTTTGTGTTTTTAAACTCCGTACACCTTCACTAGAATCTTTTGGATAAATTCAGCCCTGGAACTGTCAATTTCTTCTTAACAAAAGGTAAATGGTAGCTGTTAAAATAAAATCTACCACTTCATGACATCACAAGGTGGGACAGAGCATTTTGAGCTTTGGAGATGCTGACAGACTAACAGCAAAGGAATACTCAAGCATGTGTGAATGAAACAAAACAACTGCAGGCATGTTTTTGATGAGGTAACAACATTCTAACATGACTTAAAGCTCAGAACAGTCCATTTTGTGTCATAGGACATTTAACTCCTCCGTCTTGGCTGCAGGTTCATAGTGCGGGTGATGTGCTCTGTTCTGGGGATGCACGTGCGACAGAAGAACCCTCGCTCCAGAGACAAAAACACAAAACTGTTGGTCTGTAATCACGTCACAGAGTTTGATCATAACATCCTCAGCCTCCTGACGCCTTGTACCACGGTGAGCAATCTAACCTAACCCTAACCCTAACCCAATGCAGTGTTTTCCTATTAATACAGGAGACTACAGGGGCACCCATGGTAAAAAATAGTTCCATAGCCTAAAACAAATTGGACTATTGATACTTAGCAGCTGAGGTCATTAATAATCCCTGGGGTTGTGATGCTAAATGAAAGCACTACTCTGTTAGAAGCTGTTACTCAAATAGCCTTAATCTGACCTTTATTTTAACACAATCTGATCAGAAAGAAATTACTTAGTTGGAAATACAACAGGTGAGATTATCTGTGCACTTAAAAAAAAGTCTCTGACACTAGTATTAGCCAACAGTTTTTTCAGTTGGTCCCTCTCACCTTTTGGTTGAAAATCAAACACTTAAACAGGACCATAAACACATTTAGTTTTAAATCCATTTTGAGTTTTCAGACAATAAAACTTTTTTGACACTGTTTGCTAATGTGTGCATTGTGTCACCACGATAACTGCTGAACATTTCGCTTATAGAGATACATGTAGAACACCCCCAATGTGATGTCACTGCACTCTGTAATGGCATAACAAAATCTGTTTTTGATGCTGCTCGTGTTATCATAAACTTATAAAAGAGACTACAGTGTTGACATTTAATGACATTTATTCTCCACAAATTGAATGAGATGGAATTATACAACTAAAAATAACAAAACCTTAACAAAATCTACGGGAAACACTGGAATGTCCTGAAATGTTATATTATCTGAAACGATGCAAGAACGTATTTGATGGTTGATAGATGGCAATTGAAATTCTGATTCTAGGAACATTTTATTTGGTTCTTTTTAGTCATTTAACAGTTTAAATAAAGCTATGCATTTTTAATGTATTTCTCATTCTGTAAAGATTTTGAATGACTTTGTGTATACAAAACTTGCCTTGCCTGTTGTCCGTAGCCTCACCTGGAGGGCTGGACGGGGTTTGTGTGCTGGGCTCGGGGCTTCATGGAGATACAGGCCTCTGCAGCGTCTATGGGAGACACTCTGAGGAGATACTGCTGCACTGACGGCACTGCCCCCCTGCTCCTGTTTCCCGAGGAGACCACCAGCAACAGACACAAAGGCCTGCTCAAGTTCAGGTCTGTACTCCCACCCACCACCACCCACAACTCTGCTTTAAAGATGCATTGTGTAGCTTCTCTGGTGGAGGGTCCGCTACGTGCTATGTAGAGAGGCAACCCCACTCACAGTCGGAATGCCTGTTTTCTAGGTATTTTTGAGCTATACACCCAATTGTAATTGACAAAATGTAAGGTAGATCTTGTTAATGTCATATTGTGGAACATTCCAAGCAGATCAATGACATATCTGTAGAAACAAGCAGGTGATGGACCCCCAAATAAAAAGTTACATGGTGCGCATTTTATTTGACACAGTCTGACCACAAATCATAGACTTAGTTGGATCTTCAACAGATGAGCTGATTTGTGCTGTTAAACAAGTCCCTCTCAAATAATATTACAGTCATCAGCTTGGACTGATCACAGGCTCCTGAAAATGTGCTTTTTAAGGCAAGGCAAGTTTATTTGTATAGGACAATTTGTACACAAAGTAATTCAAATCAAAACATAAATAATCATAAAATTTACATTAAAAGAGAAGAGTACAGAATTTAAAAAAAACAATCAGTCACATGCAGAGTCAAACGGAACCTTTTTGAGAATGAATTTAATATTTTAAATCCATTTTGCTGTGTTAATGTTGCTAATGTGTGCATTGGCTATCCATGGAAAATCCTGAACATTCCCGCATAGAGCTACACATAGAACACCCTCAGCATGATGTCATTGACCACCACTAACACTCACTCACATATCACATTCAAACAACACATGGACCACTGCTGCTTCACTGTGGCACCTCCCAGCGGTCTCCCATCCAAGCACTAACCCAAGCCCAGCCCTACTTAGCCTCCAAGATCTGATACTGACAAAGAGGTATTGCCAAATGCAAAATTTACACAAATTTCTGCAAACAACTCTCCAATTCTCCATACCTACTTTCTTGATAACGTCATAAAAGCTTGAGCTCTGCAGGCCTGGCCCAGTCCATCACAGTCTACCAGCTCTGGAAGATAAATATAGCTTTAACTGTAGAAGAGGGTTTTAAAGTTATCATCTGGACACTGTTTTTGAAGTCAGGTTGCTTTCATCCATGATTAAAAAACTCTAAACAACACAGAAATCAGAACATTTGTTTGTTTTTGGCATGTTTATTGCGATTGTAATTAATCTTGCAGCCCTATATTTCAGATGGAGGGAAGGGGCCTCTATATTAACTCTATGGGAGCGTCACTGTTTTTGAAAGAACTATTCAAACTTATGATCCACATATGTTGATCTTAAGGTCTTTTCAGCTGTCGACACTCACATCTTTAGGGTTGAATAATGGCACCGCTTTCTGAAACTATTGTGAAATTATACAGACAAAGAAGACGCTGAAGTTTGTGCCAGTTTTTGTTTCGGTGGATAGACCCAGTAACTAGAGATATTAACCGCAAACGAGGTTATCAAATCTGCATTCTGATCGTTAAACAGCTAAGTCCAGCAAAGATTTCTGACCTTTTTCCAACACAGTTTAAACTAGGCATTAGGAACGGGACAAGATCTGGTGTCCCTGTTGTCTTGGCCAATATAACTGCGATTAACACGTATATCATGATTGCTATTGCTGACGGTTTTAAATGTTATAGATATGAATAATTAGAACTTTAATATTATGAATATGTTCCATATTTAAACAACTGTTATAAATGTACCATGTTGTAAGTGCAAACAACAGTGATCTAGAAGAAAACGTCATGGATAAGTTGCTTTTTTCAGTACATTCTGGTTATAAAATGGTGATTATCTTTGCTGGCGATTCTCACAATTATACAAAATGTCCCATGAATGATTATTGTGTACCCTTTTTATCATGATAAATGATATTGTCATTTATTGCCCCTTCCCCAGTTTAAAACGTAGATATTGTATGTGGTCTTCTTCTGGTGTTTTTGATATCATTGTATGTGGTCTTATATTCTTCTGACCCTGCTCTTCTTCTGCAGCTCGTGGCCATTCTCTCTGGCGGAGCCTGTTCAGCCTGTGGCCTTACACGTATCCAGACCTTTCATTGCTTTGGTAAATCACATTTAACTGAATCTAATGATAGTTTTTTGACTCTATTTTCAAGGAGCTTTATGTAGCCTCTGGTGTTGAAGTTAAAAAAGGTACTACATTAACAAATTAACCTGTTTTGCCAGAGCAGCAGATAGAGGGCACAATCAAGTTTTTCTCATTCTCAGTAAGCACAGAACTTTTGTTAATAATAGTGTAAATTTACTACATGTTATTTTCAGAGCATCCCAGAGTGCAGCTGGCTGGTGGAGCTCATGTGGACCTTTTTTGTTCCAGTCACAGTGTATTATGTGAGGTAAGAAAAATGTTTTATTTAGTATAACTTTGCCTGCAGCCATAAACTTCCTAATACTTCAGTTCAGTTTTATAGATTCTAGTTGACATTCATGTTATATCACTTTCCACACTTCCTTTTTGCATTAACTTGTAACTTGTGACTTTCTCTTGTTTTAAAGCTGGCTCCCTCCGGTGTCCAGACAAGATGGAGAATCAACACAGGAGTTTGCAGATAAAGTTCAAGAGGTAAAATCTAAATCTAACTTTACATATCATTATTTTAGATAAAAAACAGCACATATGATGTACTCTCGGTTCTTCATTTAATACACCACAGCGTTACACTTAAAGGTGCAGTATGTAACTTTACGTTTGGGTGTCCGTTACCTGCTTGTTTCCATGGATATGTCATTGCTCTGTCTGGATTGTTCCACAGTATGACAGTATGACAGTATGACAAACAGATCTACCTTTGTTCAATTACAGGTGGTTTTATAGCACAGAAATATCTAGAAAAACAGGCGTTCTGACTATGAGTGGGGTCACCTCTCCACAGATCTGACCTGCAACTTGATCTGGTTTGGTTTCCTAAAGATAGAAAGGTTTAATACAATACTGTGGCACATTTCAGACAAACAATAACATCACCATGGAGAAAAGTATTTGACGAATTCTCTACCTGAAAAGTTACACAGTGCACTTTAAAACATATGTTAAAACACCTCAGCTAAATGTGCACAATGTACCTGTTCTGGCTGATCTGTCAACTGCTTGTCTCCATGGCAGTGGCATTTTTTTGCTTACAATACTCCACAGTATGGAATCTAACATATCTGTATTGCATTTACACAACCACAAGTGTTTTATTGCTCCAAAATATCTTGAAAAACATGCATTCATACAGTAAGCGGGGTCTCCTCTCAACAGATCTCACCTGTAACTTGACCTGAGGGTGTCAGCGTTGTGGAATATTCTAGGCAAAGATATAACCTTTCCATAGAAACAAGCAGGGAGCTGACCGTCCAGCAGAAAAGTTGCATAGTGCACCTTTTAATATAGCCATTTTTTCCAGTGTTTTTTTTTTAATGTTTATTTTTCAGCTGTTGGCCGCTGAACTTGGCGTTGTCGCAACTAAAATCACCAAAGCCGATAAAGCAGAGCACACGAAGAGGAAGAGATACACAGCCCCACAGGCTCAAACAAGTATGCCCCCTGAAAAAATATATTTAAATTAAAGTAGTAAAATACCTGTAATCATGTACTTCAAGAGTAAAAAGTAAAAGTATTTAGCAGATTTGTGGTGAATTTTGTTCAGTACGAACAATTAAATTTTTGTAGCTTCTTATATTTGCTCAAAATATGAACGTATTTAAAATAAACCCTGACCCTTTTCAGCAGATGTCAAACAGTAATAAAAATTTTTTACTTAAATCCTGTTCAAAAATGTAGTGAAGTAGAAAACAGATACCTGCTCTCAGATGTAGTGAAGTAAAAGTAAAAAGTATCCACTTAAAAATCTACTTAAGTAAAGTACAGATACCTAAAATTTATACTTAAGTACAATACTTTTTTACTTTGTTATGTTCCACTCATATGCTCTATATATAAATAAAAACATAGCTAACGTGCTAGCCACCGTGTTCCAAATAGGAAGTGAGCATGGGGGCACTTCCGGCTCCTCCTGACCCTGGCTCCCATTGACTTGCAATATTGTTGCGACTCTCTCTGTAACTGCTTCTGTGAGCCTCATCGTTTTGGTCTTAAAATGTTCGTATTAACCCACTCTACGTGATCCTGATGTTTTTATTTCACAGGTTATACTTTTCATTCCACTGATTATAGATACAAACTACTTAAGTGTTGCATTCTGTTATTTATCCACTGCAGCTGATATTTTTTCATTTTGTACATCAAGAATAGTTTTTGGGGGGATAAATTTGCTTCGTGGTTTCGTTTCAATATTATCGTTTATCATCTATATTTACAGCAGTATATCACACTTCGTATTATGTTATTACTACGTATATGTTATTATTATTATATACATATTATGTATTATGTGACAGGCCTATTGTGTCTGTTCTGGATGACTCACTGTTTGCCTGCCTCAGGTGTCCGGCCCGGCTCCATCGGTCTTGGTTTTATCCAGAGCCTGGGCACAGACGAGCGCAGACTGGCAAAGATGGCACAGCAGGTCAAAGATGTGCTCCCTCATGTCCCTCTCAGCATCATCACTAAAGACTTGGGTTAGTTTCCTGTTGGTTGTTCATTCAGAAGGCTTGAACAATGAGGGTAAAATATCCAACTGGGATTTTTCTGACAAGTACGAGTGTTTTGAAGTGCACACTTCAAATATAATAGCTTAAAGGTCCTATATTATGCAAAATTGTGTGCTTTAAGGGCTCAAGTTACCTGTTACAAGTTACCTGATTTTTTTTTTTTAATAATACTTAACATCTATAGTTGACAGATTCATTTAATACCATATTTTAGATTCTGGACAGTTTAAACCAAAGCATTAAGATCTCCATGAAGACAAACATGTTAAAGTTCTTTTATTGGTTTATAAAGCTCTTAATGGTCTTAGTCCTATTTATTTATCTGATCTGCTTTTATCATATGAGCCCTCTCGGACTCTCAGGTCCTCAGGTAGTCTCCTTTTAGCTGTCCCAAGAGTCCAGACTAAAACTCACGGTGAGGCATCTTTTAGCTTTTACGGCCCCCGTCTGTGGAACAGTCTGCCTGAGGATCTGAGGTCCGCTGCGAGTGTTCATATTTTTAAAAGTAAACTTAAAACATATCTTTTTAATTTAGCTTTTAACTGAAACTTTTACCTGTTTTAACTTAAATTATCATTATTATTGTTATTATTATGGTAGTTTTAAATTAAATTATCATTACTATTTTTTTTTGTCTCCATCTGGTCTTAGCTACACACTTTTAATTTTTACTATAACTTTTAAGAGCTTTATGTTTATTAGTTTTTTAGTTTTTATGTTTCTGTTTAAATTGTGGTATGGGGGAGGGGTGTTAATTAATGTAAAAATGTTTCTGTTGCATGTGAAGCACTTTGTGCTACATTTCAAATGTATGAAAAGTGCTATACAAATAAAGTTTGATTGATTGATTGATTGAAACAGGTTGCAGACCCTTTCAGAAAAGTTACACCTGTTTAACTTGATTTTTGTTTTCATGTTTTGTTCAGCGAAAACAAACTGTGTGGATACAACCATCACAAATTTACTGGAGAACAAAGAGGAGCCCCTGGAGGCTTCTGGGACGTCAGCGTTCAGTTCGACGCTCAGCTCCTTCTCAAGCTCCGCCCCCACCATCAAGGTCAGACCCTTAATGAACTCAGCATTTTATGAAGTGGTGAAACTATGCTATGAACTATACCTCAGTAAAAACAGAAAGAAAGAAAATACAACAAAATTCTGAATGTCTAAAAGCATTTTTGCTTCAAATAATGGTTTAGTTCTTTTCCAATTGTCCCTGTAAAAATGTAAAATCTGTCAATCACTTGGACAACATATAATTTTAAAGCTCCACAGTGTAACTTTTTAGCAAAAAAAATTTTAAAAGTCTAAAAGACTTTAATTTATTTATTTATAATATATAAATAATATATCATATTACATTACATTACATATACATGTAGTTATATATTTAAAGGATTTTTAATTTACCCTATTTGATGATCCATAATCATGTTGTTTCCTCATCAAAAACATCCTTTTCCACCTTGCAATGTCATGTACAGGGAGTGTTCTACTGTGTTTTTAAACTCCATACATTTTCATTCAAATCATTTGGATAATTTCTGCCTTGGAATTGCCGATCGCTACTGAACTAAAGGTAAGGCTTGATAACATCACAAGGTGGAACAGAGTATTTTGAGCTTTGGAGATGTAGACAGACTAATAATAAAGGATTACTCAGACATGTGTGAATGAAACAAAATAGAACTCCATGCATGTTTTTGATGAGGTAAGATTATGACAAATCTTAAAGTTCACAAGAGTCCATTTTTGAGCAACATAGACTAATAAACACGGACACAGTTTCCACAGCATTAATTAGAAGGAAAGTCATTCCATGTCATGGAAATTTCAATTAATTCAATTTAGACACAATTCAGTGTATTGATGTTTTTTTCCTCTGCTCACTCCACAGCCTGCTGCCAAAACATTTGGGAGATCACCAGCCGACAGACACCTGTCTCTGCAGGAAAGGAAAGAAGCTCTGTACAACTTTGCCAGAAGGTAAGACACTCAATTCACTGGAGTTTATTTTTTTATTCAGGGTTTTCAGGCAGATTCCTTTATTGTGGCTATGACAGATTAGACTACTCATTTTACTAAAACAGTTAAAATCATTATATTTAGGATTTTTGGAAAAATTTTCACACACGTTTGATGAGGAAGCAACATTATAACATAGATCAGATAATAGCTTAATATCGGGCCTTAAAAGACATTCTCTCATAACTCTCATTTTATAAATGCTGACTATTTCTTAATGTTTTTTTTGTTTTTGTTTTTTTTTTGTTTTCCAGACGTTACATTGAAAAGCATGGACTGCCCCAAGAAGACAGTCCCTAAACTCTGGGTCAAGCCTTTGTTCAGAAACTTGCCGCTGTCTCCTCAAATCTCAAATGGTTTTATATTCAGTCTCATTCTCAACATGTTCACTTTGGTGTTCAATCCCTTATTTTGGCTGGTTCATCATTTTGATAACAATTTGTATTACAATCCACTGACTGTGAATCATCTATTTATTTTTATAATGTCCAGAGCCATTGATGAGAATAAAATTCTGCTTGACCTCACTGATAACATCATTTATTTCTATATATACCTTTTCTTAACGTCAAAAGACATAAAGTAACTTTAAGTGGAGGACCTCCTTGTCTCACTGGAGATATTAATGTTTTTCCAGTAATCTTCCACAGTATGGCATTATACTATTGCCTAGGGATGTAACAATATCCAAATCTCTTGGTACGATATTATCACGATATGCATCTCACGGCATAATATTTATTGCGTTATTTTGAAAAGGCTTATATAATTGTAGGTAGGACACTCTTTTTGCTTTTAAATATACCGTGACAAGATTTTGGTGTACATTATTTCCATCATAATCCCAAGAATTCAAGTAAACATATTTCTTCATGTTGTCTGCACTGAAATGAAGTATGAGATATGTAGTTCTCTATGTTTATAAGCTGTTGCTACTATGAAACCGTTTAAGCAAAGGAACTTGTAATTCGATATATTTTGTAATAGCCCACAATATTATTGTGAGACTTCTAACGATACGATATCACTGTATTTCGGTTATTGTTACATCCCTACTATTGTCACTTTACGGTGACATCACGCTCAGGGCATTCTACATGTATGTATATGGCTGAATGTTCATCAGTTACCAGGGTGACACAATGCACACATTAGCAAACAGTCAAAACGTTTTTAGATGGTCAGAAAAAATACAAAATAGAGACCGTGATCATCACCATTCGTGGTCCTGTTTAAGAGTTTGATTTTCCACAAAAAAGAAAAATGAAAAACTGTTGACTAATGCTAGCTAGGTTGTGACTAATGTTATTTTTGAGGGACTTGTTTAACAGCATAAATTATCTCTTCTGTTGTGGTGATATCGGCTGCAAAGTCTCCATACCTATGTCAGATCTTGAACGTCATACTGTGCAGTGGCATTTGGCATCCTGTAAAGATCTGGGATCTCATTTATAAAACTTTACATTGATTTCTTTAAAAAAAAAAGTGTATGTAGGGTAGGGTGACCAAATTTTCAAAATGAAAAACTGGGACACTCCTGGTTTGTGGTGTTTGGTAATAATAAAATTGTGAAATGAGTGCCTAATTTTAAAAAAATGTTAAGCACTTGGCCCATGTGAGTCATTTCTTTGTGTTTTGGTCATTTTAAGCAAATTTTCTGTAGCTTACCTAAACAAATGACAGTTTATATCTCTCTTTACTGTTGGCAGGGATCAGATTGGTCAGAAATATGGACATCTGGGACATTTCTTGTATAAAATTGGGACAAATCAATGGTTTTGTATAAATCTGCTGGGACAGGGAACACAAGGCTCAAAACTGGGACTGTCCCGGGTAAATACTCTCTGGTCACAAAAATATCAAACTTGCTCCTCTTAAGACTTGTGCCAACTGTGTAATGTAAAACTAGAACAGAAGATGGAGCATGGATCTTAAACTTTTTTTTTTTTTTTTCCAATAATCAGACAGTTAAATGTCGGAGAATAAAACGTCAAAGCTCACAAAATAAAAAAAAAATAAAAATATATATATATATATATATACAAAATCTAATTAAATTAATTGCTGTTTCTCTTAGTTAATTATGCAGTTTAATAGATTCAGTTATAATGTTCACTTTTAGAACTCTACATTTAATTTACATTTAAGTATAACATAAAATTTTAAATAAAAACGCTTTATTCCTACCGGAAGTTTTGATTTCTTACTTCCGGGTCAGTGTTGGAAGTGCTGCGGATCAGGCTAAAGGCTAAAAGCTAAAGGTTCTGAAATGTCGGGTTTAGAAGGAATTACAAATGAATCGGCTGCAATAAAAGACGACCAGGACATCGGTGAAGATGAAGAAGATCAGTCCGATGAGGAGTACGTGGACCCGACCCGATACGTGTTTTACAGGTGAAATATTTTAATTTTGCATTTATGGGTGTGCAGTATCGGCTTAGCTTGGTGGTAGCATCATGTTGACTTAAATATCGATAAATTGTTGAACTTAACGATTTTTGTCATACCATGTTTGTTTTACTACAAGCAATTGTATATCTGCACATTTGCTAATAAATGATTAGATAGAGAAAGCTAAATATATCTGATATGGTCTTAATTTCAGAGTTAGGGGCGTCACCTCATTACTCGTGGTATATTCAGGGGCATTTTAAGAGCGATTTAAACATTTGTTTTTTGGACTTTATTGCAGTAGTAATGTTATATCACCTTTTAATGTTATTTTTTGTTCTTTTGTTACAGGGACAGGAAAGAGTGGGCAGATCTGGAGCCTGTTCCCCAAGATGATGGTCCAAACCCGGTGGTGAAAATAGCCTATTCTGACAAGTGTAAGTGCGACGGAAGAACTACCCATTTGCTTATGAGTGTATAGGCCGCATCTCCATTCTTTTTCCTCGCTTCTTTCTTGATTCCTCTCTACGATCCACCATTTTTCAGCTGTTCATCAAATGTGTCATATTAAGCATGTCCCAAAGCTCAGAGGAGGCAAGGGAAGGAAACCGTGGTCAGTCATATTTAACATGCACATACCAAAAAGGTGTAGGCTGAAGCTTAATCTGATCAGGTCTACCCTTTATCATCATTAAGCATCATCTTGAAACCAGTTCAAATGTATAAATATAGCGAAAAGAAACAAACAAAACAGCAATGTACTGCAAAGTATAGCAGGAACTATAACTAAAGGTCATAATTAATGTATCTGCAAAGAGTTAAACATTTGGGTATGCAGGAGGGGGACATCAGAGCAAATAATTAAATTTTATTTGTCTCACAGCGAGAAGTTTGTATGTTGGAAAAACACAAGTACAGGGACAGCAAGAAAGGATGTTGGACATATATTTTGTTTAATTTATCTGAAACTCTCACCTCTGTCCCTCTCTCCTCTGCTCCTCTCTCCTCCCTGTCTCTCCTGTGTGGGTGGGACTTCCTCACCCATTTCCTGCACAATCAAGGAGAGGAATCAAGAAGAAGGAAGCAAGGAAAGAGAAATGAGACACGGCCATAGTGTAACTAGAGGTGGTATGAAACATGAGTTTGGGTCCATGAGAACGAGACATGATTTGGTTTGCTTTTTTTTCTATTTTTGCCCTCTGCAAAATTTCACAGCACTTTTTTTTTATCTCTTAAGATATGTTTTCTTATGTGTGCACACTCCTGGTTTATTGCATGTGTTTGCTATCTCTGTGAATGTTGAGTTGTCAGTTTTATCAAATAGGAAATTTTTAAATTGGCAACTTTACATTCTGGAAGAAGGATTTGGCATTCGATGTAAAATAAATACAACCACTTGCCCTTTTTTTTTTTTTTTTTCCACAGTCTCAGATGTTTACGATTATTTCCGAGCGCTGCTGAAGAAAGACGAGAGGAGTGAACGAGCACTGGCTTTGACTTCAGACGCCATCGACCTGAACGCCGCCAACTACACAGTCTGGTGAGAGCAGACTTGACCTTGTGTTTACATACATTATTTTGCTATTATTTTGGCTATAGACACATGTACTCAGCCATATAGAAAAGATTGATGTTTTAAAACCACTTACCATCCACCCGCCCGCCGGCGGGCGATTTTCCAATAAAAAATGTTCACTCTGTATATTCACCTTCATTATTGTTTTCACTACTGGCATGCCATACATCGTTTGAAAGCTTAATTTCTCAATAAAACAACTATATCATTCATTTTATGCCACACAACGAGCCCAAAACGCGATAACTTAAAAATTCACATCATAATCAAAGAATAAGATACGCGTTTCTTACCTTTGAGCCGGTTCTGTCGGTCCAAAACGCGTTCAATCCATGAAAAGTTGTACTCAATAAATCCGTAATAATCCACAGAAAAAGAATATCAAGTTTTTTCCATAAAATAATTCCATGTGGGTAAATAATCCAGAAAATCCTCGTCCGTATGAATGGATGAAAGCGTGAATGAAAAGAGATGTTGCATTTCCGAGCCTTCTCCCTCTCTGAGTTCCGTTTCTCTTGGCGCTCTTGGGTACGCTTGTTTTCCTCACACTCTTAGCTTCAAAATGAGACCCTCCCCGCTGTTGTCGGTGCCTGGTTTAGCTGGGACAAGCCGCTGAAGAAGCTAACGTACCGACGTACTTCCTGGCTTTACGCACGCGTCATCAGTTTGTTTACGGGAAATCTCTTCAGTCATTGGATCTTCCAGAAAGTGATTGACATATTGTTTTAGCCTATCACCAGAGCTTTCAAACGGTGGGTGGGACATTCAGATGGTCTTTGAAACGGACGCGGTGTTTACAGGCGCCACAGAGAGGGACACAAGAAGCGGTGCGGGAGGGGCCATATTGGGCAGATCTGCCACTTGGAAGACAATTTTGGCTACTTTTAGGTTTTTTTCTTGAGAAAACATGCCTAAAGCTCAGAAGAATTAGTATTATAATAATAACAATTATTATTATTATATTATTATTATTTTAGCACAAATTTGGCAATCTTGTGCCGAATTGTCATTTTGTATACACAAAGGCTCACAGCATCAAAACCCTTTGTCCTAGAGATCTGAAATTCTACACAGTTGTTGCCAACAACTTGAACAATGACTGTAGTGAGTCACAAATGCCTAGCATGAAGTATGCCCAAGCTAAGGCCTTTATTTTTTTCAATTGTTTTTTCGAAGCAAAAAAATACAATTTTTAATTGACTGTACTGTAGGTTAGGCAGCACTCACAGTCTTCATATGCATATCTACAGAAACTAGAAGGCCTAAGCTTTAAAATGGTGCCTCACACAAGCATGTGGGTTCTAAGGTTTTCTTTTAATAAGCTATGGCACTTGGGTATGTAGTGCTATTGTGCACACGCCAAAATAGGTGGATGGTAACAGGTTAAAAATTGGGAACTTCAGAAAATGATAGGTCTTTTCTCAATTGCAACTTATTTACATAATTAATATATTCTTGGATATCTTTATTTTGTATGTCCTCAGGCATTTCAGGCGAGTGCTGCTTCAAGCCTTAGGGAAAGACCTGAGGGAGGAGATGAGGTACATCACTGCCATCATTGAGGAGCAGCCCAAGAACTACCAAGTCTGGTGAGATCTACCTTGTAGCATTTGTAACAATGCTGCACCTCCACCATTTACAAGATTTGTCCAGCTTTGTTATGAGCAGACCACCAGAACATTCAAATCCACAAGTCACAAAGACTGCAGACTGCCCCGATGTAGTTTAGCCTTCTCATAGGGTCTTAAAAAGTGGAACAAGATTAATTTGTTAAAACATATCAATAAACTAAAAAGTAAATACATGCATATCTGAAAACTGGAAATATTACATGTAAATTAATATTCATTAATTATTAATATAAAATATTGAAATGTTTGACCAGGCATCACAGGCGGTTGGTGGTGGAGTGGCTGAATGATCCATCTGAGGAGCTGGAGTTTATTGCAGAAATTCTGAGTCAAGACGCCAAAAACTACCACGCCTGGCAGCACCGACAGTGGGTCATCCAGGTACAGTTCTTAAAGGTTTTTTTTGTTTTTGTTATCACAACAACAACAACAAAACTTACAGATAGTAGCTTTACAGTGCACACAACATTTTATTTTATTTTTTCTGATTATGACCTTTTTTTGTGGAATAATACCTGTCGTAGATATTGGTCATGCACAGATCAGATGTTGTGTGTCTGTGATGGGAAAAATGCATTTACAGGAACCGTTCATGTTCATATGCAAAGAACACATTTTTCTGACTGTTTAACAACATTTAAGAAGGTGCATTAAGTTTAAGTATACCTCTTGTTCCCTTTACCTTTTGCAGGAGTACAAACTGTGGGAAAATGAGCTGTCGTACGTGGAGAGTTTGTTGGAGGAAGACGTCCGGAACAACTCTGCCTGGAATCAGCGGCACTTTGTCATTTCTCACACCACCGGCTTCTCCGACCCGGCCGTCATCCAGAGGGAGATCGAGTGAGTCCCACCTGTCCATACTGTGGTGTAACTACTTATACCATGGTCAGAGAGAAACAACAGAAATATCACTGTTCTGTATCACTGCTGAGAATGCTACAGAATGTACTAACTAGCATCATTTAAAACATTAGTGAACAGGTTTTCACATTTACAAGTGAGACATTTCAGTTGGTAGCCGTGATATTAATGCATTAAATAACTTGGAGAAGTGCTTTCAAGTTGTTTAATGGTTACTGATGATATGTTTAGCATCATGTTCATTATGAGATTATTACAGCATATTTTTTGTGTCTGTTGCAGCTATTGTTTGACTCAAATCAAGAAGGCGCCTCACAATGAAAGTGTCTGGAATTATTTAAAAGGGTAAGACCTGTTTTATCTTTGTTTCTAAGTTTCAGGCAGATTCAAGTTTTGATTTTTGTAATCGATCTACAAAAACATATGTAGTCAGTTTTCATTGCAATGTTATAATTTAAGATTTAAGATACTAATATAGTAGTAATTCATATGATTCGCTGTAATCGGTAAATAGAATAATAGATAATATGATTATTAATGTGTGTATTTTTATTTTTGTATGAGAAGGTGGGTATTTTACCTTACTTTTCTAGTTAAAAAGCAAAACTAACAAGATCTTGTGAGATTTTACCCCATGTATTTACATATGGACTGAACCAAAGAAGGATTAATGCTAAATTTCTTGAAAAGTCGTGGAGCTGAAAAGTAGTAATATAATGATAGCAAATTAAATTAAATTAAAATTAAAACAAATAAACAAAAAGTGTGATCTGAACAAGCAGTTTATTTATTATAGATTACATTGAAGTCTTGTTTTGTCCCATACCTGCCATTTGGGAAGCGTTACCTTGTATTAATTAATGTCATACTGTGGAACATTGTATTATTTTTATAAACTGGTATTAGTATATTCTTGGACTTACAATTTGTGTAATCCATAGACTATATATAAATGGACATAGCTAAACCACTAGCCACCATGTTCTAAATCGAAAGTGAACATGGGTGCGCTTCTGGCTCAGTCAACTCTGACTTGGTTTTGGATTAAAAAAATGTTGCCCTGCTTTCTGTAAGTGCTGTTGTCAGGCTCCTCATTTTGATTTTAAAATGTTTGTATTAACCTGCTCTGCGTGATCCGGGTGTTTTTATTTCACTGTTTAGTCCATCGATCAATATCTATTTTTAATATGTAACTCTCCTAATTTGCCTCTGCTAGCCTCATGAGCTCATGACTGGAGCCAAATGCTATGGGTGACGTCATATTGCCTTAGTCCACTTCTTTATACAGTCCATGGTTTAATCATATTTAGAATCTGAAATGCTAGTGGATGTGTTTTAAGTGACAGTATAAAATGTACATAACAGACTTTTTTTTTTGTCTTGGAGGCTGTTGGTTAGATTAATAATAATACTGTTCTTGTTTTTCCCAGGATGCTTCAGGATCGCGGTCTGTACTCTCAGCCCGGCCTCATGGAGCGCGTTCTGGAGTTAAAGGAGACGCACTGTTCTCCATATCTGCTCGCCTTCCTGTTCGACTGCTACGAGGATGCCATGGAAACCAGCAGCCAATCAGAGACAGAGGAGCGGGCGGACACACTCAAGAAGGCCCTAGAGGTGAGGCCGTATTTTGAAGAATGCATTTTTTTGATTTTACATTTGATACAATTATGTACCCATATTTGAGTTGGCTATTATTGTACAGATGAGTCCTCTGTAGTCACAAGGTTTATTATCCCACTCTTGTTTCTTGAACCACTTTGCAAAATTGGGAAAAAGGGGAAACATTATACTATATTTTATTTTTATATTTATTTATTCAACTTGTCATTGTGGTTGCATGAAGTTTACTTAAAGGTCCATTATGTAACTTTTCTAGTGGAGTGCCCATCAAATACTTTTCTCCATGGAAATGTTATTATTTTATCTGGAATGTTTAAGAGTATGGCGTTAAACCTTTCTATCTTCATCCAGGTCAGCTCTGTGGAGAGACAACCTCGCTCACAGTCAGAATGCCTGTTTTTCCTAGGGATTTTTGAGCTGTAAAACCACCTGTAATTGAATAAATGTAAGATAGAGCTGTTTAATGGCATACTGTGGAACATTCCAGGCAGAGCAATGACATATCCATAGAAACAACAGACAAGCCCCACCCCCACCAAAGTTACACAGGACACCTTTAAAGAAGCATATGATCTCGACAGCTAACGTCAAAATAAGTGCTATTTAAACTTAACCCTGTACACAATATTTAAATTATTTTATCATCATATTGAGACAAAATCTATTATACATGATCACTATATATAGACTCTTGCTAACATATCTGTGTAATCTCTCAGTTGTCCTGGTAGGATACATGGCAAAGAAAAATTGCTATCTTACTAATATAATTTGACTGTTGATTCTCATTCTTTACAGATTTGTGACCTTTTAGCAACAAAGAAGGACACGATACGAAGAGAGTACTGGCTCTTTCTGGGACGATCTTTAAAAAACAAATATGGCGTTGTGGATGTGAACGGAGAGGAGCCAGAGTCAGTCCAGTCCTCTGCGCCTCAGGAGCAGAGCTAAAGTTTATCACATTTTAATGTTTCCTCTTGACTGTGTGGTACGGGTCAGTTTAAAGCCTGGTTTATAGAGAAAGATTTCCTCCTACTTGAAATGTGCATCTGCTAAAGGTGCATTGTGTACCTTTTCAGGTGGAGGGTCTGTCAAATGCTTGCCTCCATGGAGACAACAGTATGGTATGAAATCCAAATCAGACAAAGTTACAGGTCAGATCTGTGTCGAGGCAATCCCCGCTCAGTCAGAATGTCTGTTTTTCTAGGTATTTTTTCTAGGTAATTGAATAAATGTAAGGTGTGTTAGCTGTTTTAATGTCATACTGTGGAACATTCTAGGCATTGCAATGACATATCTGTAGAAACAAGCAGGTGATGGACCCCCACCCAAAAAGTTATCCAGATACGGTAAACCTGCATTTGACCCATTTTTGCTGCTTTAAAGAACAAATATTATGCATTATGTGTATTATTATTGGATTCAGAAGTCAAGGATTTGTCATTTTCACAAGTAAATTGCAAATACTGGAATATAGAATGCAAAACCACAAGGTGACATTAAGACTGCAGCAGATACAGTATAACGTGCAAATGCGTTTTGTCTGTTGCATCAGTACAGAGTCCAGATCACAGTTATGGCAGTTAGGGTGATTTCATGTTTTAGGACTTAAAATGATATCTAATTAAAAAAAAAACTTTACTTAGATTTGCGGCCATCTTGCTCTTCTGTCATTAAGTATTGTTCATGTAGTGTCATATTGCATACAGTTAGCATGTTTGTGGCTAATATCACAGCTTGTATTTGCCTATATTGCTGTTTTAAATCTACCTTGACTCGTACCACACCACTCCACCGGAAACCTACCTGTATTTGTGACTGTATTAGTACCATGTATAGTTTATATTGAAATAAACTGCAGAGCAGAAATTAATTGTGTGCTTTTCTCTCATTTTGTTGGATAATATAACAATGTCCCTTTTGATTTATGGCACTAAAATATGGAATAAAACTAAATGAAATTGTGAACTAATTTTATCCATGTCATATTTTGTTAGTTTTTTTGGTAAACTTTGCACCTAATATAGATTCAAAAACATTTAAAACTCAACAAAGACTTTTTTTCGCAGTAGCGTGTGTAGTGTAATTCATGATTTACTTAATGATTTGATTTATATTACGCCTTTCATGACACCCAAAGCCCTTTACACTCCATGCTGCACTGCACTTCACACTCAGTGGTGATGAGTTACTATTGTAGCCACAGCTGGCCTTGGGCAAACTGACAGAAGCAAGGCTGCTAATCTGTGGCATCTGCCCCTCTGACCACCCGCGCTCACACACACCATTTTTATACTAGGCAATGTGGGTGAAGAGTCTTGCTGAAGGACACAACCACTGGCCACCTGCGATGTGATGAGATCAGGCATTGACAAGCTGGTATAGTCACAATACACATAGTGGAGCCCTAAAGGGACATTTTTCATTGTTTGGGAAAGTAAGTCACGGATGAAAAATTTAAATATGTGTTGCCTCTGGAGGTAATGTTGTATACGGGTCAAATATTGGACCAATTTTGGCACATTTTGTTAAGGTCAGAATTGTGTGATTGTAAAACTGGTGGATAGAAATTAATTGGGTACATTTGTTTGAATTATTTGTGTATTATTTCATTTTTAATCAGCTCTTTCCTTTTCCTCTTTGATTCATTTCATATTTTGCATATCTCCAAAACAACCATTGATACTATATATTTTTTTTATTTTCCATCTATTCTTTCAAACAATACTGCAGTCCACACAATAGCTTCTTAGCACATTTTATTACTCCACTTTATATGACAGAATCAGAATGAAAATGCATGGAAAAAGTGCCTTAAGTAAGATAACGTCTTTATTTTCTTCGTCAATCATCTCATGGAAACCAAACAGAAATTTTGAGGTACTCTTCCCACTTTTGCCAATTTTTTATTATTTTCTTATTTTATTTAAACTGAAAAAATTTAATAAGTAAAAAAATCAAATATATTAAAATTCAGCTTCCATCATCACACGCTTTCCTTCTGTCTCTGTCTAATTGGATTATAATGAATTTGACCATTTCCCATCATTGTGCAGCCAAAACTCTTTAACTCTTTGTTAGATTTTATATTAATGATATTTTTGATCAAAACTCTCTCCCACCACCGTTTTCATCAACTGCCTGCTCGATTCAGGATTCACCAAACAAAGCATAAATTTCATACTTTATCAATCATCCTAAATACACTCCAAACCCTTCTGATTAGTTTGTGCTAATTATTAAAAGTTGAGAAAAACAAGAAATTAGTTGAGGATAATAGGCTCTGTGCACAGCAGCACTAGCTAGCTCACTGTGTCTCAAAGCTAACAGTCACGTTTATTAAAATAATAAACTATAAAATAAACATTCAATTTTTTTTTATTAATTAAAGTCAAGACTACACAATTGTTTTTTTTTGTTTTTTTTTTAAATGTGTAGAATAATTCAGTTTGGGGTGTTGTTTGTATATTTACTATGCCTCAAAATTAGCATTAGCATTAGCATTGAGACACAAACTTCTACTTTTATAAACACAGAACTGTCCCTTGATTAAGTATTCATTATATTTGTGTACTTTTTAACATGTTGTCAGTGACATCCACCCACCGCTCTCTGTTCACTGCCATATCTTTAAATATTTATCCATTTTAGCACGGCTCTGCAAAACCCCGCATAAATACACAGTTGGACAGGATTTTTTTTTTTTTTTTAGTTGGACAGAAGGTAGTCACAGGAACACAGTGAGGTTGATGGGCGCTGCTGTGCACGGAGGACCTTATTCAGCTGGTCCAAAGGTCAAACTTCTTCCGTGTTGTCATAGAAATGACCTGAGGAGAAATCAATACAGTGAATTGGTGTAGCATCATAACTTTTTGTCTTAGGCTACTGAAGACCGTAACAAGAAATAAAGTGTCGTGAGTGTACTACATGCATATATTAAATACTGAAATTATATATTTGTTTAAATATTGTTAATGAAGTCACACAATTAATGTTTAACTACTGACATCTGATATATGTGTTTAAAGATACTGCTGTGTAGGTTGTGACTTTTTAAGGAAATTCTTTACAGAGCAGCTGGTGAGGGGTCATCCTGGCTGGCACCAAACCTAAATGGGTCTGGTCATTCCCATAAATGGAGAGGCTTCAAGGAGGAGCCAAGGCGTGAACCTGGTCAACATATCATTTGCATATTTCTGTGAATGTATACATACTGGGTGAAGGGACAGATGCAGGCGTCAGATTACCTGATTATAAGACCTGTGTAGAATAGGCCATCAGGGACAGTGATTTGACCCAGAGCTCTGTATTAGAATTGTATTGTATAATAGGGAATACATTTTTGTGATTTCAATCGATCGATTCCAGTCATTATTTTTTACAATTGGAACACAACCACACTACTTATAGGATCAAGGTTATGACTCTAAAATAATACAAAAAATAATAATAATGTAGCTTGAAATTGTTCTGCCAATTGTGAAGGACAAGACAAAGCAGTTTTCTTGCACTAATGACAAATATAGGTCTTGTACTAAATTGTTTCATTCACACAAGTCTGAGTAACTCTTTATTATCAGTCTGTGTACATCTCCAAAGCTCAAAATGCTCTGTTCCACCTTGTGATGTCATCAAATATATGAAGCAAGATATATGGAATTATGTAACAAGACAAAAAAGTTAAATAACTCTACTAAAGATATTTTGACAAAGTAAAGGGTGGCTAAATGAGAGGGCGTGTCCAAACTTTTGAATGGTAGTAGGTACTCTTTTAACATTATGAGAAGGGTCTGTTTTCAGTGTGTCCTTGGCTTTAGTGTCAGTACTCACATTATAGAAAATAGCTGTTAATTGGACCAGGACATAGTGATGACGGCAGGATTTGGGTCGTCATAAACAGACCTGCGGCGTCTGGATCCACAACTCTGTAAATAAACACATGAATAGACCATCACCAGAAAGGTTACACATTGTACCTTTAAATATGTAGGTGTTATTTACATTTTTTCTCATAATCCCATAAGAATTTTTGTGTATTTTATAAAAAGCGTAGACTCTATACTCAATACCAATTCTAATACCACCATGATAATAAAATTCACCCTTTCTTTAGACAATACACTGTGATTTTCAACATTAAAGCATAGTACTTTCTTTTTTGTTCCCATGTTGTGTTACATCTGTGTAATCCCTCAGTGGTCCAGGTAAGTTCCATAGTGGTCCATGGGTGTATACTAATCTATGTGCTCTTATACTTTTAAACTTGTTCTGATACAGCTCAAGATCATTCTAAAACTATTCAGGAAAGGTTCATGAAGGTTCAGACGAGACGTTTTAGTATCAGTACTTTTGACAATCCAACTGCAATAGTATCAATTGTACTTTTTAGTGGGGCAGATTGGTATAGGCTCCCTTATATCTTTTCTGCTCAAAATGAAATAATTCAACCACCTGGTAAAAATGGGATGATAAAAAATTATATCGCTTATCGTGAATAAAAAGGGTAGACAATCGTTCGTGGGATATTTTTAAATATCAAGATAATTGCCAACAAAGATAATCTCCATTTTTATCACCAGAATGTGCTTCTGCATGATGATAGCTTCTAAATCATTGTTGTTTCACTTATAACAAAGTACAGTTCTGTAACTGTTTAAATATGGAAACTATTCATAACGTTACAATAATTCATATCCATTAAATTTTTTACCGTCAGCAACTTTAATAATTATTGGGATATTGTCGCTGAAGGTCCATATTAAGCCAAATTGACTCTTATGAGCTTTAAGCATTGTTATAATGTAGTAACCTCATCAAAACATACCTGAAGTTGTGTTTTGTTTCATTCACACATGTTTGAATGACACTTTATTATTAGTCTGTCTACATCTCCAAAGCTCAAAATCTCTGTTCCACCTTACGATGTCATTAAGTGGTTGTTTTCAAGTTAATGGACCATCTTTTACATTTAGATCAGTAGAGACTGGCAATTCCAGATTTAAAATTATCCAAATGATTTTAGTGAAGGTGATTGAACCTGGACACAGTGGAGGACTTCTTGTATTACCACATGACATCACAAGGTGGAACACAGTGTTTGTGTTTGAGAGAAGAACTCAAACCTAAATATGCAGGGTTGTGTATTAAACATGTGTGAATGAAACATAAACCAGAAAATAGCGTAACATGAGTCCTTTAATAACAATTATTTTAACCATGATAATAGTGACACCAAATTTCAATATCGCCTCCTGCCTTCCTCCCTGTTGTTGTGTTAGCATGTGTGTGTTTTCTGTGTTTACCGGCACACAGGCACTTTTCTTGGTGCAGAGTTTGACTTCACAGTGGAGGAACAGGTCGGAGCTCCCTGTGAATTGAAACATGTTGAAGGAGAAGAAGTTTGAGGTGCTGCGTCCGTTTCCTACCACCTTCACCGTGTGGTCCTTTGGGTTTGCACACCTGAGAGGGACATACAAGAACACATGAGCACGGTTGGACAGAGCACTGATGTCCATCAGGTCTGGACCTTAGATACCAGAACCACACATTTTATAAAAACTTTATAAAGACGAGTGGATCTGAAGCCATATCCTGTCTCCCTAATTTCAGAGGGTGTGATTTACAGGCAGGGGGTAGACTGGCAATCTGTGTGTTCTGGAAAAATCCAGAACGGCTGTGTTACTGTGGGGCCTGTGGAGCTATTATGTCCAGGGCTATTCTGCGTATAGCCCTGAACATAAAGGTAGATTTTTTTTCCAGCTGTTTAAAAGTCCTGTATTACTACATATTCTCATATAATGTTGTTTCCTCATTAAAAACAGACCTGAAGTTGTGTTTTGTTTCATTCACACAAGTTTAACACACACACACATG